AACACAGGCTGCATCGGATTTGGAACTTATCCTCCTCCTGCGCCGACCCGAAAATCACACGACCGATCGGGTTGATTTATCGCTCGATCGAACGGTTCAGCCACAACAAGGGACCTGGTGCTTGCTTAGCTAACCCGATCAAGAAGCCACACCTTTTTTACAGCCGAGAGTCTCAAACAGGCCCAGTGAACTTCGACTGTGTGGCAGGAGTGTCATCAACACTCGGATGGACTGAACTTAACAGCAAGAGCATTACAAAAAGTACAAGCCGGTAATCAGACAGTCTCGTTTAGGGTGAGAGATTTTAGGCGTCGCAGCTCGCGGAATATGATCCAATCAGATCGCGTCAGGGGTCAGAGGGAATTTACTTGCTTAAGGTCACGGATGAGAGGGACGAGACGCTCGACTACGATGAAGCCGTCACTCTGTATAATGACCCGTCGAGTTGCAACGGGAATCCGAGTTGCAATCCGAAATTTTGTAGTAACAGCTTGCAAACTTGACAATGCGTTGATAGTGAATGAAAAACCGGGTTTCCTGTTAGAAGCGAATTCCGGAATTTTGAAAATCCAGCTATTATCCGTGATGAAACCGTTCTTCAGAAGGTGTTTACCGTCAACCCTTTTACACACCTTCAATTGCAAAGCACCAAAGCAGGAGGTGTTATTTGTTTAGAATAGCGCAGTGGAATGCAAGTGTGTGGCGATGCGACGGAAATCAGATTGGGTATTCTATCCATTGCTGCATACTGTCTCAACGTGAAGGTAGGAAGTTTCTTATGTATGCCATCGTCAGTGACTATTAGAAAGAAAATATTTAGTCCAGAACAAGTACTTGTGTAATGTAAGGGCCAACAACGAATTAACGGAATCCGGGTAATTATTTGTATGCCAGTTTTAACAAATATCCAGCTCTTCGATCGATGTTATCAGTCCAAGCAGGTGAACTGCAGCGTCAGGGTAAGGCACAACACACACAGGGTTAACAGTTTTAGTTCACGAATTGACATCTCTGATGTCGATCTTGATGAAAATCGAAAGTTGTGCTCCGATTTTTTGAACCAACCATCACAGAGGTGATAATTATTCGAATTATTCGTTGATTTTGTTGGTTGCAGCCTGGTGAATGTTGTCAGCAAACCGCCGTATATCACTATAGAAGTGAATTACTTGCTGAGATCGGTGAGACTTTCTCGTAAAATATTTAATTCTAACGTTATCAGTTACCCAGTCGAAAAGAACCAATGAGAAAATTAACAGAATCGAG